TTTGCGGAGGATAAGAGAAAAGATTTCGTTCGTGTTAAAGTTTCAACTGTGGTTGGACGGTGTTCGATATTTTGAGTGGGCAGGCGTTGAAAAAGACATTCCGTAAGAATCACGGAAATCGGAAATTGATGCCTTCCTCGAGATTCCACGGTGGCTACCCTCCTAGGAGGAATAAATTCATCGAATTCTGTTCTACAGGAACACATCGAACGCTATACGCTTTCCCTGAATCTCTTTCTCTCCCTCTTTCACGTTCACGCGGAGAGAAATCTCTGATACGATGGCTTCCGATTGATTTTCCAATCCTCACGAACGGTTGGAAAAACTTTTCTTCTTTTCAGTGCTGATATCCCGTAAAAATTTTGCTTCAAATTGTTCTTAATATGAAAAGAGAAATGGGATCGTTTGCATTGCATTAACGGAAGAAATTAAAATGTCGAGCTTTATTGTAAATTTGTGGAATAATTTTTAACACGAAGAGCTCGAAATGGGGAATTTTATTCAATTAATACTGAATTTAATCAATCGATGAGGAAACTCAAACGTCGAATTAAATATAATAGCGTATGTAAACAGCTATTGGTACACTTTAAATATTCAATAATTGCTAAATGTGTAAATAAATTCTCATCTTCTCAAATTAAAAATCTTCTCACTCGAAAAAGCAAAAAAAAAAGGAAATGAAATACAGAGCACTATGCACGTTCTTAATATATCTACATACAATCCCTAATTAGTCGAATTAAAAGAAGAATCTCCAATCCACATCAACATTCCACGTCTACAATTAAACTTCAATGAAATTCCCAGTATAACTGCTCTCAATAGCACAAGAACCACAAGAACAGTGGATAACGGTAGAAAACAATGACTTCTGAACCTCGGCCAATTGTCCCAATCGATAACACGCAGAAACTGCCCACAGCGTGCCAGTTTCACCGCGCGTCAATTCAATAATTACAGTTCTCGTATAACTTGCCAACAACCGGCTGAAAATCATGCACCGTAAAAGTTCGCGGGTTTCTAACGAATGTGCAAAATCCAACCGGCATTGTCCCTTCCTCCGCCGAGCATTGTATTCAACGAGTCAGCTGCACACCACTCACCGAGCATTCCAACCGGAAACTGACTGGGCGTCTGCAGATTCTCCATGACGCTCTGCGTCACCACCCACACGTAATTCTCCCCGGTGATCTTGTAATCGTGAGCTGCAGTCAAGATGGTGATGGCCTCCTCCCTGGTCGAGTAGAGCAGCATAACCCTGGACTCGCTGTTGACAAGCTCGAGGAGATCCCGCGGGTGAGTGACCAGGATCGCGCTCAATATGGTGAACTTGAAGGTATCCTGCATGTCGGAAATTCTCTCTCGGACCGCCTGCACGAAATCGTCGTGTCCGGCAATCTGCGAGGTGACCACGCTGAATTGATGCCATTTGTACCTTTCGAGGATGCTCAGCATCGCAGCCGTCTGATGTTCCAACGACGGCGCCAGTTGCAGCTGCAGGTTGCTCTGCGAAGCCCTCTGAAAACGTTCGGAAATTCGTGGACCTTCGAGCGCATCGTAACGTGTCCCGTGATTACGTGGAGTGTTTGCCCGGGACAGATGTATAATACAACGAAAGGGAACTTCCTGATCTCTCTCTTTCACGTTTATCGAGGGGACGGTTGTGTTAGCGAGACTGAAGTAATTGGAAGGGATTAGCGGGAGTTGTTGTGTACTTTGATAATGAAAAGGGAGGAAATTTATTCTATTCTATTACTGTTCGATTGAATTGAGATTTAGGTTTTCGTCGAGTATTCAACCCTCAACGGGTTAATTCTGTCAAATTTATTTGTTAGCGTCAACTGTGCGCTGTTTTAATAATCTACAGAAAGAGAAATGTTAAATAATTTACGTTCCTTTTTTTCGTGATACTCTGCGTTACAAGGTAACGAAGAATTAAAAATGAAACGTGTGCTTTTGTGTTTTGAAAGGAACCTGTTTTTATGGGAAATTCGATGGTTACATCGATCCTTTCAGTTTAATTCTGAATTAGTAGAATTTCGAATAAGGTTAACGCAGGATAATGAAAGTTAAGAAGAAGCCTCCTAATTTAAAAAAAACATGAAACTACATCTATTTATTTTTAAAAGAATTGAAAAATGCATACATGGGAACATTTTTTGTTCAACTGGAGGACAATAGTCTGGTCGTGTATAGAAAGTTCGCCCAAAAATACACGGTATATAACAAAAGCCTTTATCTGTGCTTCAACTAGTTTGAAAAAAATTTTAAATCTACGGAGGCAAGATCGTACATTTCTGCATGATTTACACTTGTGGAAAGATGAAAGGAAACGGTTGAATGGACTCACCCGTTCTAATCCCGAGTTATCTGCGTTCCAGGCGATCACCGGAATTCCTAGGTAACCAGCAAGCTGTAGAAAGTATTGAGCACTGGCAGTACTACGACCATACTTTTCGTAGTTCATCAGGTACAAGATGGCGGACACGTTCATCGGCAGGAATTCCTTGCATAGCGATTTCAAAATCTCTGAAACACAGAAGCGACGTCGAACGTTAGCTACATTTTGCCTAGAAATGAAAACTATTCATGAAAAAAGAAAAAAAATTCAACCGTTCCATTATATCCTTTAAAAAAGAACGTTCAGATTTCTATGGTTACTGAAAAAGATATTTAAACCTTGCAATTGCTTTCTGTACGAAAAAATTCGTACTGTACGTTACGTTGGAAATAAAATGCAAATTTTATCACAAAACAGAGATACACTCTCGTTGAATTATAATTTTACTCGATTAGAGGAGACAAACGGTCCAAAATTTCCTTCGAGTAACACAAAAAAGAGTTACAACAGTTCCACAGGATGTAACCTAACCTACAAATTCACAAAGCACTTCGTATCCAAGATAACCTAAAAAAAAAAAAAATGGATGCACATATCAATTAGAGTGTTTCAAAATTGCAAGAGAACCTTCCAAAAAATTTCTGAGCGTGTATCGCCGCAACTGCAGCTGAAACGTTTGAATAAAAGGATCGGATAAAAATGAACTGTGTGAACGTAACAGCGCCGCTCGTAATCGTATCCGTGTGATTTGTTGTCGGTATCATCGTTCCAGCGCCACGTATCGCGTCCATTCGCGCGATTTATCACGGTTCCTCGCAGATACGAGCGCTAAATGGTTCCTTCCGAACGTGGCACGCTGCTCGCTCACTTTTACAAATGGTGGACAATAAACGTAACGATCGCGAAGAAGCACCGCGAGGACCAATTGCAACGATCAAGTTTAACGATAAGGCCGCACGAGGCCTGGAGGCTACGTCTGAAAGGAACGAAGGCAGGAGAAGGAACTTTTTTATACCACACGTGTCACCGCTGGAAAAAATTCCGATGCTCCTTTTGGTCACGCTTTAATCTCGAGATAATAGAAATCGTGAGCTCCTCCTTTCTGCTGGCGACTTCTACCGGAAGCAATAAGACACATCTGGCGTGTCCAAGTTGATAATCCTCGCTTTGGTTTCCTCCGCGAGTGTTTCTCTACCGATTCCATTCTCCTCCATACGATACTTCCTCTCTTGCTTCTGATCACTTTAATGTGAACACGCGGTCACCAGTTGTCGCAACGTGTTACTTTGGTAATAGTGAAATTGGTTCCGAGGACGATTGCCGGGGAAGGAGGAGGAAGTTCGGTTGGAAATTATGGCCGAGGACGTTTTAAAGGAACTTTTCTGGAATTCAGTTGCTGAGTTTGGAACAGCAATGCATGGTAAAGCGGAAGTGTAATGGCTGTTGTTGCATCGTGTCCAAGTTCAAATAGACATAATAGCCAAAGTATTTTCAATAAGGACAATGACGTCTTCCTTCCAAACATAGTATTTACCATTTCTTTCAGAAACTCGATTTTTTTTTGGAAAATACTTTTGTATGATAATTTTATTTCTTCACTAAGAACGAGAATATCTCTTTGTTTTTTTAATTAAGGAGATGTAAGGAAATTTCGCAGGACACTTGTAATGGTGTTTGTAATCGTTCTTCAGAAGAGTCGACTTCGTCAGCTTCTCTACGATCATCGTTACGAAGTAGGAGCGAAAACATGAAATCGCGACCGTCATTCGAGTCATGGACAGATCCTGACCTGTTCCACAAAACGCGCTACTTCACCCCTCGATGTCCGCGTGACCCCGTTTCGCCATGTCCTCGTTCTCGTCCCTGTTGCATTATTCTTCTCGGTGGTTTCTTAATTTCACTTCTTATTTACGACCAGGATTCTCGTGGGCGGGTCTTATTAAGCCGTAGAAATTTTAATGAAAGGGTAAGGTGAAGGCATTGAATACTACGATTCACCTTGGAACCTCATCTGATACGTTTCAGTTAATGAGGATCTATAGATCTATTTTTCAAAGACGTGTTTTACCACGTTTCTAGCTTTTTTAATGACGATACTTGTTTAGTATTATTTTCTAACTAACGAGAAAGTGATCTATAGATCTGTTTTTCATCCTGCAGAATTTTTACTTCCAAGACGTGTTTTACCACATTTCTATTTTTTTTTTTAACGACGATACTTGTTTAGTATTATTTTGCACCTAACGAGAAGGTGACTTTTTACAAAAACAGATACGGAGCTATTTATCATTAGATCTGTAAAAATCGTTACGTTCTATATTCTTCGTCATATTTATTAACTAAACAGATAATAATAGTAATTTGCATACAGCATTTCAGAAACTTAAGTAAATTACGTAGAATCATAATCCAAAATAACCAGTCACTTATAAAGAATCGTTTGTACCTAAGACAGTGGTGAGAATCTAAGTACTATCTTCATCTATTTTTCCATTATCTCTCACTCCACACACTCCAATACTATTTAATTAATTTCCTCTTTTCCTACCACGATCGATCACTCATCGTTACGCCCGACTAACGTTTCTGTGACTCGTTTACGACCAAGAAAGTCTCAGCTACCTCTTGAAACGTGCACACGAACCCACACGTAGCCGAACCTCACGAAACAGAAATAGAATCTTCCTTATTTCTCGCTTCTTCTCCATCTTATATCGGCCTTATTGTAACAAGCGCTCCTCTCCAAGTGATTTTCGCGGAACTTCCGGCGAAAGACGAACGTGACCTACATACATCGAGTAGGAGATTCCGAACTTTCGCCAACTTTTCTCGATACCGGAGCATCCTAATTTCCACGTGCGTCCGGTGTGTCGATTATTCCAAATTTAACCATGCCCACCGCACGATCGATTGTTTCATTCATTTATCAACGGTGTGTCGTCTATCGCGCGAAAATTAACACGATTCGACCAATGTTTTAGCACGAAATAAGCGTCATTGTCCACGGATGTGTGACCGTGTCCCACAAAAGATCGAGTTTCGCCGATTGTCGACGTTCGGTCGGCGGTTGCTGACACAGTGGGCTCACCGAACTGACGTATGAGCGGAACACTGCAACAATAACTGGTATTCAATCCCGTGTGTATGATTGTTTCGCGTTTTGCCCGTACGAATGGCGAATGTCAACCGGAACAACGCTTGTAATAAATAACCGCGAGTAATCGCGATCCTATCTAAACGGGCGCTGACGTGAACAAATCACCGTGGACGAGATAGTTGGCGAAAGAACGTTGGTATCATCATCGTAGGTGATATTATTAGGTTGTACGATATGAATTACCGGATTGGAACGTCGTGTTCGTGCCTCTGCGTTCTCCTAAATTTCGTAACTGTAATTTAATAACGTTGTACAAGCTTTAAGATGAAATTAAAAAATTAGGAATTTTTCAACACTGAAATAGTAATCGCTTGAGAAATTCCATTAGGATCTTGAACCTGATTTTTGAGATTTTTAATATCTACGAGACGAGTAATTACTGTAAAATTCTGTTTTGTAATTGTTTATGGAATATGAATTTTAACGAGGAGAAAATTGAACTTTGTTTACTTGGATTCTTTAACGATCTCTCTTTCTATGAAGCTGCGTACTGAAATTTTGGTGCTTGAGCGATTAAGCTACGTTCTATTAAGTGATTTAGCTGCGAACCACTATTACGACGCTGTTTAGTAAACAATGCGTGTTCTAAGCCCGAATTAGGGGCGCATGATCGGAAACGTAGTCGACCGTATACTTGGGATAATGCAGTCTTTGATCAGAGGCGTTTACCTTGATCGAACCGCTGCTTCTTAAGATCGATTCTGTGCCTAGTTTGTTTGGCAAGAATTATAATGCATCACGGATAAAGAACCTAATTCTGTGACAGGGATATACCGAAGGGCATATTTCGTTACAAATTATTCCCAGCAATTTTGCAGAATTTTAATAAAATTTCTCGAATTAAAAGAAATATTCAAATTTTGTCTTCCTTGATTACAAAAATGTTTTATAATATTAATTCATATGCCACAGAAAAATATGAAAAAATACTCGATACAATTTTTGATGTTTGTTTTATCTCTTTTGATGTACTATTAAAGGATTAATCAATGCAGTTTTCTTCGAAAGATATTTCTACCCTGCACACGTAATTTGATAGAACCGTGTATCCAAGGAAACAGCAAATCCCTCCACGGAACTCTAATGAATGGTTAAACGTGCGATCGCAAATCATGCGTGTTATCTGGCTCCTGGAAGCAGCGAAACACCTGATTAAATTCAGCTACTTAATGAAACAGCGAATAATAGCGGCGCTTCAATAACTCGTTCCACGTACGCGATATTTCATCCGCGGGGAAGCCGGGAATCCGTATTAATGACACAACGGTATTAAATTTGCGGGTCGACGGACGGCGTGGATCCGATATAATCCGGCAAAGTAGGAAAGGGCTTTATAATTTGATTATCAAAGGGTCGAGGGCAAAAAGAGCACATTGACCCGGTCCCTAGAATTTTCACTTTAACAAGTGGTCGCGAGCGATGTTCGACGTTTGCGAGAACTCGCAGCGCTCTTTCGTATTTCGTTACGAAGATAGAGTGAGTGAGTGGGTGAGTGAATGAGAAAGTGAGTGGGAGAGTAAGTGAGAGAGTGAGTGAGTGGGTGGGTGAATGAGAAAGTGAGTGGGAGAGTAAGGGATTGAAAGAGAGAGTGAGTGGGTGAGTGAGTGAGTGGGAAAGTGAGTGGGGAGTGAGTGACTGAGTCATTCACAATCAGTCAGTCAGATAATCAAGGGAAGAGAATGACAGAGTGAGTGGGAGTGTAAGTGAGAGAGAGAGAGAGTAAATGAGTGGGTGAGTGAACGAGAGAGTCAGTGGGAGAGTAAGTGAGAGAGAGTGAGAGAGAGAGAGTAAATGAGTGGGTGAGTGAATGAGAAAGTGAGTGGGAGAGTAAGTGAGAGAGTGAATGAGTGGGTGAGTGAGTGGGTGAATGAGAGAGTAAGTGGGAGAATGAGTGAAAGAGATTGAAAGAGAGAGTGAGTGGGTGAGTGAGTGGGTAAGTGAATACGTGAGTGAGTGGGAGAGTGAGTGAGTCATTCACAGTCAGTCAGTCAGATAACCAAGGGAAGAGAGTGGGTGAATGAGAGAGTAAGT